TCAGACCCCTTTTGCTTGTCTGCTATCCCTACTTCACCCAAGCTGGCTATCAGTCGTTACCTCGTGTATAGAACGACCAATGTATGGGCCAGTATGGCCATCAGTGACCCAAAGGACATTGATGGGGCATTTTGCAGGACTGTGTCTCTCATGCTGCCTGTAAAGTTTTCATCATCCAGGCCACGAGTGTTCACATTAATCATGGACTGCTGCATCCCCAGCTCCCAAATGATTAGGACCAGCTCAGCATACGTTTGCCATTTACTCACAATCTTGGGCAGTGCTCCAGCATTTGCCCACATGGTTTGGGCAGCTGCATTCACCCAGTCCATCAAGGAGTGATTACCTGGCCCTTGTGCATATCTGCAGCTATTCTGTAGCTGCTGCCTCAGGGAAGGGCGCATGGTGATGGAGGCCAATTTGTCCACCTCCTCACCAGAGCACATCACACTGTCCACCCCTAGGTCCCATGACCACAGCAGCCAAGCAGCCAGGGGCTCTCCCTGCTTCTGCCAGCACTGTCTTCCCAAGTCAACCAGTTCAGCCTGGGTATACGGGACATAGGTGGAGACCTGGGTCACCTGTAGATCACCCACGGGTTGTCCACCTGGTCCCATAGGCTGCTCGTGCTTCATTTTCTCATGCATGACAGGTCGTGCCTGGAGACACACGGTCTCCCCCACCTCACCACTGGGTCAATTGTCTTCCCTGGTGTGAGGGGCAGGAGTAGCCAGTCACTGCATGTCATCCTCCAGGACAGTCATCTGTGCTTCCAGTGACTCTGCTTTCTGCCACAGCTCTCAATCAGTTTGCAGCACAGTGAGCAGCAGCCAGGCCCTGGTCAGCAGAAAAGTGGCCACCGGGCACCACATGCTCAAGGATAGACACATTTCCCCCCCTTCCCAAGGGGTTTTGCATTGTAGTGCCTGGTCTATGCTGCCTTGCAGTACAGTGTGCAGCAACCAGATCCCAGTCAACAGGAAAGCGGCCATAGGACAGAGCATGTTCAAAAGTAGCCACATTTCCTCCTTCTTCCAGGGGCTTTTGGCTCCTGTACCTGCTCAGAATCCTGTCACAGACTATGCCAATTGTCAAGCTCTTTTACCTGCTTGTAATCCTGCCGACTGGGCCAATTGTTGGGCTAGGGCTGGGTCCGGAGCTCACAGACCCCTCAAGCCTGTTCGCGGACTGGGTCACAGACTCATCACACACAGGTCTATGAGCTAGGTAACCGGCAAACAGGTCCTTGGAAGTTGTGGTTAGAGAGCATGGCCACACAGGACGGATGCCCAAGGCAGTCAATGCCAGGCAAGCTGTGGTGCCACGTGCAGGTGTACTAATTCCACCCCCCCACACACAATTTACAAAGAATGTGCCACACCACCCCCAACCATACCCAAGGCGAGGGAACCTGATTAAATTATTCTATTTTCCAAACACAGGGTCATTCCTGGACACACACAGAGCAAAGAAGAACCTGAGCACTAATGCACACGTTCCCACTGTGGTGGAACGAGCCACACTCCACTTGCTAGTGCCAGCTCATACTGTCTACAAGCGTCCTTTCCACGGTTGTGGTCTATCCAGTGCCACGTTCTCCACACCTTTGTGCTTCTGCTGGCGATTTTACTGTTTATAATGGTCCCAAGCACAGTGCAGGCGCTGATGGCTGTGTGTGCCTCACAGGGAAAACCTGTGTGTTCGACGAGCTTCGCTCAGGCCTCAGGTACGGTGCCGACGGCCGGTGTTAAGTTTAGTGAGCCAGATGTATACACCATCTGCCCTCCAGATCTGCGGGCTCTGCATCTGTGGCTTCAACAACTGCAGATTAAAAATATGCAGAAAAGGGCCGAGCCTGTGGCGCACTCGGGAGAGTGCGGCGCTGGGAGTGCAGCAGCGCTCCCGCCATTGGTTCGGATCCTATATAAGGATGGCCGGCCCGGTGCACTCACTGGCTGAGCCAACTGCAGATTAAAAATATGCAGAAAAGGGCCGAGCCTGTGGCGCACTCGGGAGAGTGCGGCGCTGGGAGTGCAGCAGCGCTCCCGCCATTGGTTCGGATCCTATATAAGGATGGCCGGCCCGGTGCACTCACTGGCTGAGCGCGGTGCGGGCCGGTCACAAGAAGGACAACAACGACAACAACAACAAAAAAATGCAGAAAAGAAGGATGGTTGCGTCTGTACTGAACGTGCAGACTTTTTTTCTCGCTATTATTCCCTAAACAACACAGCACAGCACTATTTACACAGCATTTACATTGCATTAGGTATTGTAAGTAATTTAAAGATGACAAAGTATCTGGGAGGATTGCATAGGCAAACAGTACACTATTTTATATCAGGGACTTGAGCACCTGTGGAGTTTGGTATCCTCAGGGGGTCTTGGAACCGACCCCCCACGGGTACTGAGGGACGATTGCACATATGTGTGTGTATACGAGGGCACTCCAAAGAGCTCATGAAGTCGCATCATCTTTTAATTTGATTTCCACTAACTTTTTGACGGTACCCTTGTGTATTCACAATCAATAAGGTGTCCTTCAGTGGGGACACATAAGCCAGGTTACGTCCTCAGCTCCACATGTCTGTGAGAGCACCACTCCCATGCTCGCTCATTCGGTGCTTGCAATGAGCAGTTAACGCAGTTCTTTACAGAACAGAACTACCGTGAATAAAAGAGAATCGACTGTCATCGATGAAAGAATCACCTTCAGAGTATACGGATATAAAGAATTCCTAGAAATCAATAAGAAAAAGAAACTCAATAGAAAAATGCTCAGACATTTGCCATAGCCTCACCAGAAGACCTGCAGGTAGCAGACGCATCTGTGACAAGTGCCAGCCCCCCCAGCCATCAGAGAATAGTCAAAACCACACTGACAGATAGCCACACCCCTCCCAGAAATGCTGCAGCTGTGAAGCTGTTTGTGTGCAGGGTTGGCAAGCGTGCGGCAGACTGAAGTCTCCCACATTGCTGATGGAAGGGCAAATCACTATTTTTGTGTGGAGTTTTGGAAAACAGTTTGAGATCATCTTCTGAAGGTGAACATAGCATGTCGCATGACCCAGCAGTATTACTCTAGCAGACGTGTGGACATGTGTGCATGTGGTATCCAGACACATGGACAAGGATGCTCACTGACAACAGAATAAATAAACCATAGAATACAGCTACAATGGAATGGCCGCAATTGACAGGCAACTTAATTTGCAGCAGCAATTAAAAAGACTGATCCATGGAGCTCACAAATAAAACGCTGAGTGAAAGCTAATCACCAAATAACACAGACCCTGATTGCACTTCTGTGCCATTCAACGCAGGCCAGCACAGTCGTACAAACTATCGTGTATGGGTTTCCTGGGGCTGTCGTAACAAAGCGCCACAAACTGGATGGCTTAAGCAACAGGAATTACCATCTTGAAGTTCTGGAGCCTGGAGTCCCAGATCAAGGTGTGGGTGGGGTTGGTTCTCTCCAAGGCTATGAGGGAGAATCCATGCCAGGCCACTCCTCCAGCTGTGGCACTCCTGGGCTTGTAGAAGCATCAGCCCCACCTCTGCCTCTGTCCTCACATGGCATTCTCCCTGTGTGTGTCCAAATTTCCCCTTTGTAAAAGGACATCAGCCATATTGGATCAGAGCCCACCCTAAAGGCCTAATTTTAACTTATCTGTAAAGACCCTATCTTCAAATAAGATCACATTTTGAGGTACTGAGGGTTAGGGCTTCAACATATGAATTTTGGGGGACACAATTTTACCTGTAACAGTGTAGTTAGACATCAGTATGGTGGTTGCCTTGGGGAGCAGGGACAGAAGAGGCGCTCACCAGAACCTGACCACACTGGTGCTCTGGTCCCAGACTTCCCAGCTCCAGAACTGTGAAAAATAAACGTGTCATTTGAGTTCCCGGTCTATGGTAGCCCCTCCATGCTGACTAAGGCAAGGAGGGGTGTTGCATTTTGTTGCTTTGCCCCCCCCCATGATTTGTCACCCCACTTCCCCTGGTTGATGGTGCCACAAAGGATTACTCAAAGCCCATCTCTTCTGAGCAGTGAGGGGCCCCGAAGTGGTTTATCTCCCTTTGGGATGCTCAAGCAAGAGCCATCCCTTCCATTTGGGAAATTAACCCCAAATTGGGGTTCTCTTCCTGCATTTATTTTCCAGACCAGGAAGTTACAGGAAGAGACATAGGTGGGGTTATCGTTTAACAATATAGGCTGGTAACTTTCAGTGAAACAAGCCAGATGACATTCCATTGGACAATTAAATGATCTTACAGCAATTTCTCAGTACCTTTACATAACAGTCAGTAACCAGTCTGTCCTAGAGCCAGCAACCTTGCTGTGCCACAAATCTTTATCTCACACCAGAGACTTTATAGCCTGAGGAAAATTTTCTGTCCTTACAAGGTCAATATTTGAAACTGCAAGGTTGGAAAACCAGGCCCTGTGAAGTACATTTGCTTTATGCATATTCCACAGAAGGGAGTTGAAGAAGACAGCCCCAGAGGTCCAGGTGGTCTTGAGCCACGAAGGCCCGTTCATGGAGCCCACCCATGCTAGCAGCAGACATGGGACAGGATCTCCCCCTGGGGTGGGTGCTGTGTTCCTGGCTGGTGTTTAAAGGTTTAAGGTACCTTCAAGGAGAAGCTGCTAATTATTTTGGAAGATATTCTATGAAGTTCATGAGAGGGTTCGATAGAAATATTGTTTGCCATTTTAATTAACACGTGGGGTCAGGAAGCACAGTTAAATTTAGCCAGCAACGGTCAGATGTGGGTTTTCCTTTTTAAGATGTTTCGAAGCACCCCGCCTTCTACTGAAAGGAGAGAGGAATGACCTTGAATACTGCTTCCCTCAGAAGGCAGCTGCGGTTTGAACCATGGGGGGCTGGCTTTAGCAACCCCCTACCTCCACACCAGCACCGTGCCTGGGCCGAGGCAGGCGGGCAGGTTCAGGGGTGTGGCCTGGTTGAGGGGGGTGGTGGGGCCCTGTGGAGATGAAGGGAGCAGCAGGCTGGACTGAACGCTCAGGGCCAGGGTCTGAGGGACCCCTCAGGAAACGGGCACCTTCGCCTTCACTTTGCACTGGCTGTCCCCTGCCCTGTCCTTCCCTTTGCACTGGCTGTCCCCTGCCCTGGCCAGCTCCTCCCGGTCACTTAGTCCCAGCTGCCTCCAGGCACCGCCAGCCTCAAGACACAAGAGACATCTCTGGCTTGTTTACTCTTCAGTTTGTTGTCCGTGCGCCCCAGAAGGCACCTATGGAGGGCAGAGACGGCCCCTAGTTGTGGCTGCATCTCCAGAGCCTGCGCAGAGCCCTGCCAACAGCAGATGTTCAATGCGGTTTGCGCGGAATGGCTGAGTCCTCCAGGGACTGAGGACTGTGAACCCTCCCACCTTCCCCCGCCTGCTCTCCTCTTCAGACCCGTGGGCACCACCCTCTCTGCTGGACTCTGCCTCCCAGCCAGCCCTCAAAGGGCAGGGTCCCCCGTGTCTCCTCGGCCCTCCTGGAGGCGCTGGCACATCCCCAGGCTTTTCCTCCGCAGCACTTGCGGTCACTAGCGCCCCCCGCCTCCCATCCACCTCCCCGTTTTTCTCTTCCTCTGGGACCATCCGCGGCCCAGGCCCCGGAGCACCGCCCTTCTGCCGCGCCCTGCAGGTCCCTGCTCGGCGGCCGGAGTGGGGCCTGGCTCGAGGGCGGCACAGGTGGGTTCTCCAGGAGGCCCCTTGGGGGGAGATGCCCGGCGCGGCCCGCGG